GGCGTGACCTTTAGGCCACCGGGGCTCCGCGGTGCCCGTGTGCGAGAGACGGGCGGGAGAGGGACCGAAGGGCTGGGGGTGGAAAGAGGCAGCGGGGGAGCAGCGGCAGAGGTAGCGGCGTAAGAAGGAGAGGGGGGACTGCGAAGGAGGGCAACCCGAAACGGGACACGAACGTGTAACGTAGACACAATCCATCCCTGGTGCTGGGCCATCCTGGGGGAATGGGAGGAGCTGGCTCCCTGCGGAGGATAATAAACTCTGGAATGAGGGTGTGGGCTGCTGCTCCTCGCTCCCCCCCTCATTCCAGATGCATGATGACACCACGTCCCACCATCGCGCTGGCTTCTCCTTTTTCTTTCTTTTTTTTTTTTTTTTTTTTTTCCCCCAAAAATTGTTTTTTTTTTTTTTTTTTTTTTTTTGTTCCCCCAAATAATCGTATTTTGAAGACAACCAAAAGTAGAACGTGTTCTGGGTGTGGCTGCATGTGATTTACCCAATAGCCATAGTGGGGGGGACGGCTGAAGGGGAAAGACAGAACGTCTGCTGCTGAAGGGAGCGGAGACCGAGGGCTGCAGTAAGTGATGAGGACCCTATCTGTTTGCTCAGTGCTGCTCAAGACAATTTAAAACTAGCAGAGAGTGGAGGGAGATAACAAGGGGAAACTTTTCTTTGCATGCTGGGGATGTATTTGGAGGGGGGCTTAGCCACCTCAGTGAGAAAAGAGAGACTGGAGACAGGAGGTGGAAAGAGAAAGAAAGCAGATGGAATTATATGTTCAGTCCAAAATGTTTCAGAAACACCTGGAGAACTGGCCAGATTAGGAGGGAGACAGATGGGAGGGAGGCTGGGAAGACCAAACGGTCTTGAGAGAGAAATGGAGGCAGCAAGCAAAAAGTTTCTGTGCTGTAGGGGAGGGCATCCCTGCTCCTGCCTTAGCTTTCCTCTGACTCCTCTCTCCTCCACTCCACAGGGATGAAGACCTCTGGAGCCTGTATCTTATGCCTCTTAGCACTCTCCTTGTCCCCAGCTGGTGAGTCCTTACTCCAGGGGGAGGATTTCTGCAGAGTTTCCTACACAGGCTGGTGTGCAATGACTTAAGGAGAAAGACAGAGACACGTAGATGGACAGTGAAGGGGGAAGGACTGAACAGGAAAGGCATGGTGGATATAGGGTTGTAAGGAAAAATTTAGGAACTGGGGACTGGTTACTGTATGTGTCCACTCTCCAGTAAGTGCTGGGAGTTGCAAGAGACAGAGGTCTGCAGCCTCTGCTGCAGGGATGTTTGGGGAAGCAAAACAGCCAGGTCAATTTGAGCAAGAGGGTTAGCTGTGCTTTGTGCTTACTATAGACTGCTGTACCACCTGTGCTTGCATCATCTGCAGAGCATTTCCCAGTACTCCACAAAACTTGTTCTGTCATAATTGAGAAACATTTGCTGTCACTAGCAGTTCCTGCTGGAATGGCCCCGTTTCAGGCCACTTGGCTGCCAGGAGGTTTTGTAGGTTTTTGTATAGCTGTTTTGAGAAGCCTAACCTCCATAGTTCAAACCACTCTCTGCTTTTGTTGTTGTAGTTGTTGTTCTGTTTTGTTGCTCCACCTCTTTGTTGGCTTGGAGTTGTTTTGGCAAAAATTCAGGTGGGATCAAATTTGTTAAAAAAAAAACACCAAAAAACCCCAAGAGGGCAGCATCAGACATTATAGTCAGAAGACTCAGGACAAACAGCAAAATATTAATTCCAGCAAATGGAAAAAGCTTCGCCCAGGGAAGACAGATGACTGCACCTATCACATTCAAATCAGGTCATTCCAATCTACTCTCCTCGGCCCTCCCCTCATGCTGAAGCCTGTTACTGCTCCCAATAGCACTTTTTCCAGTAAGGGTGCACAGTAGAGGATGTCATGTTTGTGGCTGTGAAGCAGGGAAGAGAGGCATCCAAGAGATGAGCTTGTAGGTGGCCTACAAAGTCAGAGGCATAAAAAAAGGCTGTGGGTTTTATCATGTGTGAAGGAGGCCTGAAAGGAGTATTACTTAATTTTGTGTATTTTATTTTAGCATTTCTGGTTTTTTTTTTGTTTTAACTTGGAAAACAACAGGCATCACTAATTGTTCTCTCACTGTCTCTCTTGGTTTTGGGTGAGCTACAGATTCAGTGAATTAGGGTTGCAGTTTTCTCAGACCTCAAGGATGAATTTATTGCAACTCAGACACTAAAGTCCAATAATTTATAAAGCATATGAATTGGGTACCATAGCAAATATAAATTGAAGCGATCAAAAAATCAGATGAAGTCACCTCTCCTCACGTACGGAGGTTTCACTTCCCTTGTGTCCTGTTGTTTTAGAATTGGATCAGTTTTCTAGTTAACTCCTAGAGAGGAAAAAAAGGGAAAAGCTAGTTAAGAGCTGACTTTTCAATGTTAGAAAAAAGGAGGGGAGCCTCCCCTCTTTTTCTGTATGATTGTCATTCCACAGCTGGCCCCTGCAACGGTTTCAGAACTTGTGTCCTACCTTTTGTATCAGAAACAAACGAGAAAGTGTTCCGTATAATTTTTCTACTCTCCTTGTTACCCTTAAGAGGTTAGCCAGGGAAAGTTTGGGGCTGCACTACATTGTGTACTTAAGTTATTACACAAGTCTGGCTCTCCCTGGGTCAGCCACCAGCAGCTGAGCCCTTGCTGGCAGCTGGGTGGGGAAGGGAATAGCAGGGTCCAGCGACTTCTGTAATGCTCCAGGGCAGAAGAATTATGTAGGGTCCCAAGACTCCCTCTGCAGCCTGCAAGTAACTGCTCTTGGAATGAGGAAGAACTAAGACTAAAGCTCTAGACCTGATGGTTTTTACCCATGCAGTTCTCCCATTAAGAACAGAAAGCTAAAGGCTGAGTTCGTAAGACATAGCAGGATGTATTGGTTTTGGGGCTGGTCCTGCACAGATCCCTGCAGTGCCCCAGATCACTGGGTTTTTCCTGCCAACTCCTTCTTTCATTCCACCCCAGTTATGCAGACATTTCCCTCCTCTGTGGCTAGCAGGAAATATTTTCCTATTCCTGGCTGCTGTAGGAAGCAGCTCTCTCACCCTTTATATTTGGACAAATGAACAGTCCAGCTCAGTTTCAGTTTCTGCTCTTTCACGCAGCACTCACAGCCAAGCCTTCATCGTTCTCCCTCTCCAGTGTGCCCAGTGGCTGAGAGGAGAAAGATCTTCTGCTCTGTGCTCCATACCCAGGCAGGATGATGGACCAGATAATTATTTGCCTAAGGAGCTACAAAACCTGCAGTCTGTTTCTTAGTATGCCAATGACTCAATCTGTGACCCCAAGCAAATGATTTCCATGACTCAGTTTCCTCTTTTATAAAATGGAGATAGGGATTATGGCCAACCTCCAGAGCAGGGAGACAATGTGCATTTTTTTTCAAAATGCATCAAATGGGGTTTCAGAAATGCAAAGTCCGGTAGCAGATCTGGAGGTACGTACTATTTTGTCCCTCTGCCTAGGCTTTGACCCTGGTGGAAGCAGCAGGGATAAGATCAGAACCTGCTGTATCCACAAATCTTTGAAAAACAAAGCCATCCAGCAGTGGAGGCTGAAGTAGAGAGGAGATGATTTTTTCCTTCAGCAGAGGGCAGTGGTGTCTCCTGGACAGATAGGCATCTAAAAAAAAATGCACAAAGCCCTCTGGCTACAGAAATACCTCTCTCTCTCCTTTCTTCACTCCTCTCTCTTCTTCTCTTGCAGATTGGTTTCCATGGGTAGTCAATGGGCAAGAACTGGAAAGTGCAACTGGTAAGTATTACAGGCATGTTATGTGCTAAAGGCTGCTCATGTGACCTGGTGTTTCTGTGTAGTTACAGCCTGTTTAATTGCAAATGCTGTTCTTTGTTTCCTTGCCTCTGACATTGTGAGCTTGCCTTTCAGTGAAGATTAAACAAGCCCTCCAAGACAACCTGCCAAGTGTGGTGTGTTTTTTACAAATAATTCACTAGTGTTGGGGTCCTGAACACTTCACTGAAGTGCATGAAGTTATGTTCAAAGTCAAGGGTTGTGGGAGATCCACAAGAGCTGATAACTCTTCAGCCATGAGATGCTCAGGGAACTCTACTGCTGCTCAGGAAAATCCCAATAAAAAGTGTGCACAAGTGGCATGGTGCTTTAGCAGTGGGGCCACTGAGAAAGGATATTGACTGTTCTTCATACTGGCTGTGTTGTTGGAGGTGAATTGCTTTACCCCTCTGGACCTTCTTCCATTTTGGTGACATGATAAGATAAAATAAACGTATGTTTGCATCATGCTTCAGCGTCCAGAAGAGCCACAAGGACCTGCCTTTTCTTCAAATGGAACCCCCTGGCTAAGCCATCAGATATCTCCCATGTGCAATACCTGGGGCTTCCCAGAAAACTATTCAGAAACCAGTCCAAAATGTGTCCACCCAGCTTCCCTTCACACTTCATGCCTCCATCACACCTACCCCAGCTTTGCCATCAGTTGCCTTGCAAAGAAACTCATCTGGTGTTGAATTTTTGCAGTCGAGGTTGCCTCCCTCCTTCTCTGCAGTGGGTGCCTCAGCTGCCTGCCCTACTGCTGCAGCAGCCATCAGAGCCTTCGCTTCAGATGGCTGTCTTTCCCATCGAGATGCCCACAGTGGCCATATCTGAGAAGTCAGAATGTGAGTCCTGAGCTCAGTAAGGATTGATGCAACATGTGCACTAAGAAATCCAGCCCCCGGCCAGTCACTGAAAAGGGGGATGGATACGGGTGGGATGGGAGGTACAGTGTTTGTTTATGTATTTACTGGATTGGATCCCACCGTCTCATGAGCCTACCGTGGCAGCCAAGGTGGTTCAAGCTAGCTCTGGCTAGCTATGTAAGGGACCACAAAGTAAAGACAAGCTCTCTCAAGGACATTCTCTCTTTTCCAGGTCAAGTTAGCACCGACTCTCTTATCAGCACCTTGGGTAAGCTCCTATCTCTTGGCAACTTCAGGCTTCTTTTCACCTTTACTCCTGCCTGCACAGCTCCAGAAGTTACCCGTTATGCTCAGAAATTCCTCTTCCCCACTTCTGAGAGATAGCAGCACTCTTCCAGCGTTTATGGCTGTCTGGGAGTCCTTTCTGTGCTCTGTGCAGGGGTGGCTTAATGGCCTGTTCTCCAAGGAAACGCCAGTCTCACCTGGGGACCAGGGCTCTCTGAAGCTGTTTGCACTGCAGGAAGCCATGAAATCCGAAGCTCACACAGCCTGGGCTTCCAGAGAAGGTTGCATGAAGGAAGAGACTAAATGACAAGGGAGAAAAATCGGTCAGGTTCACCAGTTAACTGGGCAGGACTGGAACACAGGTTGTGCTCATGTCTGCTGACAGCTAGCGGCCATGTTTGAGCGCTCAGGAGACAGGGGTGACAAAAAACTAAAAGACTCTAATAAAGCAAACTCTGAGCAGTGGTGGGATGGGGAGGTGTAAATATTGTTCTTTTAGTACTGTCTTCCCTGGCGTGCCTGCAGCTATGTCACTGGGGGGCAGCAAAATGTATGGGAAAGATAGCGTAGATGGAGGACACGTGAAGATGAGCACTTGTAGCATTCAATATGCCTTGCTGTGGAGATAGCCCCAGGGAAAGGACACAGAGCTGATGTAGGCACTTACAAGACAGGCTAATCCTGCTGGACTCACAATGGGGAATGGAGGAGAAGGCCAGAGGCTCAAGAGGGAGCCTCCCCACTTTTTCCATAAGAGTCCTGTTTTGAATCCAGCACCACTGGCCTTGGAGATGGTTTCTCTCTCTGCTGGGGCAGCCTCTCAAACCCATCCCTCTGAGGTGCAGGGGGACCAGGCAGGGCAGGGAGAGGGAGAACAAATCTGGTCGATGATATGGTTCAGAAGATGAAGGAGAGGCAGCAGCACTTGGCTGTTGCTGGGAAGTGTGCTGTGTGTGTAGGAGAGCTCATCTGGGAGTGGTGTCCTGTTCTCCAGGACAGCAGTTCCATGGTCTCTCCTCTGCCCTGTGACACTGGTCATCAGCTGGCTGGAGTATTGTGGGTCAAGCTGACCAGCTGTCATTGGACAACACTGGAGGAGAAAAGTGGAAGCACAATATTGTACACGCAAGGTGCATGATCTTCCCGATGGGGATGGGAGGTGAAGGCAACCTGTGTCAGTCTCATGTTCAGTGTGTGAGACCTGACCGTCTGTAGGAGGGTAGTTAAGGCTTGGCATCCAAACCAAACTGGCGGTGGTTAACCTACATCTAAACCTGAAAAGACTAGATGTGTAGCCTTTACAGCAGACTTTGGCTTCATAATGCTTATTGTTGAGGGGTCGAGAAGAAACTCTTCACAAAGGATGTGCCATGGGACCCAACTCTGCTCTACAGCATCCCATCAGCTTTAGGACACCCAGCATATTTGCAGGGAAGGCCTGCAGTTACTCTGACAAGTCAGATAATAACTTCACAATCAACATTGTTTATGAACCAGATGTGGGATGGCTACTGGTCAGGAGCAATGAGCCATCAGCAGAACTGTGGGAGGGGGAAAGAGGCTGAAAGCTCAAATTAAGATCTTTCAGAACATCTTCTCTTTTTCCAGCTACAGCTGTCACACCACCTGTGCTTCTTAGTCCTGGTGAGTTTATTCTCAATTCACAGCCAAATATTGTGGATCCCGCTTCCCTCTCCTTGCCCAGTCCCTTGCACACCCAGAATCCTGCCCTCCCTGAGTGCCCCTCACCACAGCCCGAATCCCCAAAAGACTCCTCCTCTCTACGGCCATCTGTTCTGTCTATGCTTCTGGCTGACACTATGGCACGTGAACAGGAGAAGCAGAAGTCCTCTGAAAACTGTTGATGACAACTTGCGCCTTGCAATCTGTCTTCCAAGTTCCTTTCCAGTTTGTTGGTGGATAAATGATGAAATGTACTGGTTTACTGTGGTACAGGTGGGTTGCTTTATCAGAGGGAACAACAAACCAACCTCCTTTTGACCCCTTGTCACGGACATTACAGAACCAGTGGTCTGGGGATGCTGTTTCTTAAAGGAATCGCTGTTCCTTAGTAAGAGGCAGCCACGGGCTCCTTCGCTTCTTGCCCAGATGGACAGCAATTACAGCAGCTAAATACATTTACCCAACCTTTTGAATCATAAGTGAAGACGCCCTTACAGCCTAATTTTGAACAGTAGTGATAGTGCTTTATGGTAAAGCTTGGGCAGATTTTTAGTGTTGTTGGCTGGGTAGCTGGCACTAGATTCATGTTGGATTTGTACCTTCTCTGTGGTTTCATGTAACAGTGAAATCTTTTTCCACATTAGAAGTTACAATGGACGGCTCCTGAAAGAGCTTTCCAGTTACTTGTTTTGAGTAAGCTGATGTCTAGGAAGGAATCATGGTAAACCACACTAACTTTGCCACCCTCTGTCTTCCAGTTCAGTCTGACAGCGAAACTACAACGGCTTCATCAGGTATGTTTAAGTTTGCTGCCTGCACCTCCTCCCAGACCCATTTTCACCCACCCTGTTACTTCTCCAGGCAGGTGCTGGCTGAGCACTGGGCTTTGTCTCCTGGAAAATTCCCTTCACCCTGTTTCTTGAGTTAGAAGTACTAGGGAATGACGGTAATGGAAGCTGAAGTCTTCGCCTGGGTGGCATGGGTGGGAGGGGAGGAACTGGCAGATCACCAGACCAGATATGCTGGGTCAATATTCTGTCATTGTGAGTGGCCAAGACCTGGCATTTTGGAAAGGAAATGAAAGAAAACCCATAATAGTTAGCTACAGGGTTGATTGCTCAGAAAAGAAAAGAACTAGACTTGTGTCCTAGAGTGTGAGATTGCAGATCTGTTAGAAACACGTGTCTTAAACATGTGACTACAATTTAAATTTTATTTATTTGTATCTGTACCCTTTACAGCACATGCATTCTGTGTTGAGGATTCTCAGTGGGCTTGTTTCACATTTCACTCAGCTTTCCCTTACTTTTGTCTTACGAGGCAAGGGGATCAGAAATGTCTGCCTTATTTTCCTCTTCTCTAAACCATCCCCATCTCTCACAAGAGAGTGGAAAATAGAGGCTAGGGGCCTTCCCTAGAAGCCTGGAGGACAGTAGCTAGTGATGAAGTTCTATGTGCACCAAAATGACTGCGCCTGCCAATGATGCTGGATTGCACCTCTGTGTGTGTGTGTGTGTGTGTGTGTGTGTGTGTGTGTGTGTGTGTTCCCAGATTGTCGTGAAGAAAAGTTCCCTTGCACACGCCTGTACTCTGTTCACAAACCGGTAAAGCAGTGTATCAGCTACCTCTGCGTTACGAGGTAAGAAACCAGCAGTCCCTAAGAAAAGCCTTAAAAACTCTCCAGAAACGGCATGTCCAGTTCAGCAATTGTCCCTTTTGAAGACCAGAGGTTCCCTCAGGGAACTAGCTGGTGAAATGAATCCTATTCTCAGAGTGGCCTTTTAGGGTGATTAATTAAAACAGCACAGTAACTATTATCTGTGCAGCACTAAGAAGCTGTAATGTGCCCTATATTGCAATATGTATTTAAGGTATTTGGCCATTTCTTGAAGTCTTGACACCGATTACTTTCCTATTGGCAACAGCCTTATTCTGGACCAATTAATTCTAAAAATTTAGGATTTGCCTCCTCATCAGTGAATATACATGTTTATTCCTGTATCCTTTTTTTGTTTCTTTGGGTCCCTGTGCCTTTCACTACTGTCCTGGGTGTGTTCCTGGTGATCCCTCAGTGTGCGTCGCATGTACATAATAAACAAGGAGGTGTGCTCTCGCATTGTCTGCAAGGAGAATGAGGTCATGCAAGGTGAGCAATAGCACAGGCTAGCCTAGAAGAATAGCTGCAACCATCTGATAGCATCTCCAAGCTAATTACCCAACCTCAATCCATATGTAGTAGTTTTCCTGGACTTGTTTTTGGGGTAGCTCTAATGCAATGCAACTTTGCATCCAGTATGCATGCTGTGAGAAACACTGGGAAGTAGATATGGTACTACCAGGAGGCATGAGAGCTCTGCCTTCCTTGGTCTTGATCATGCTCTACTGGCCCCAGACACACCCTTGCATTCCTTTGAGGTAACTTTCAGTGTTTCTATTCATGAATAGAAACAGGATCCAGTCTATATTCCTTATGCAGCCTTTGCTGCAGCAAAATATGAGTTATTTTAGTACGTATTGTACATTGATAAAGCCAGAAGGAAATTAAGAAAAGCCTAAGGACTTGTTCACTTGCCTCATATATGAGGATTCAGCAGTTCCGACAGATTCTGTAGATGCAATGAAGGATGTATTCTAACTATTCGGGTGGTGAAGAATTTGAGGGAAGCTTTGATTATCTCTCAACTTGTGTGTATCTGCTATGTCTTCAGATGAGATCTGTCGCCAGCTGGCTGGCCTTCCTTCTCGACGTCTCCGCCGATCTGGGCAACCCATGCATCTCCCTTGCAGACAACTCCTGGAGCAGCAGCGCAGGCAGCCTGATGCTCTGTGAGCCACCAACAGTAGGAGAGAAAAAGGAAGGGAGAGAAGAGAAATCATCATCCACTACCTAAAACCCAAGACAAGTCCTTCTTGTTTGTGATTTCCCCACCATTTCCTTGCTTCTCTGCCTCCCCCCACATCCTCTTCTTCAGGTGCTGCAGTACACAGAGTCCCCTCTCTGCTAGCCTGTCATGGTGGCTGTTGTCATCTTCTAAATCTGTTGCTGAGGATGTGGGATGCTCCCCTCTTTTCTCTCAAACTCTGTTTGGCAGGCCATGAAGTGCTGATTTCCCAGAGGTCCTTATAAATGTGCTACATCTTCTCTTGCTTTGCCCCTGCAGAGGGATATACATGGGGACAGGATGTAGTCCTCTCCAACTGTACAGATGCCCTAAACGGCGTCTCATGTGGAGGAGTGCAAACCTTTAAGCCCTAGGACTCCTGACCTAGGTTTCTTGCATGGCACCAGTATGCATTCAGATAGGGTTAGTCAGCTTGAGCCTCTCCAGTCCTGCTGAGCCACTGAGTTTGCTGTATGATAGCACAGCCTCCTCCAGTGTCTGCCGTCTCAGAGAAGTGTCAGACATGGGAGATGAGCTGTCCTCAACCCAACGCAAACTTCATTGTCCCTGTATGGCAGCAGATCATTTATAACTACCTCTGGGAAACTCTTTGTCTCAAGCCCATTGCCTCCCTCACACACAACTGCTACCAAAAGGAAGAATTCTGGATTTAGTATGGCATTATGTTTTTCTCAAGAAGATTATGTTGGAACAGAGTGCTGCCTGTTCCTCTCCTTCCTCTCCTCTCCCCCATTCTGTCCCTCCCTTCCCATTGAAGAAATCTCTTGATGCCATTCCAGGCAAGTTCCAGGGAGCAGTAAGTAAGTAAGGCTCCTGAGCCCAAGAGAGCCCACAAAAGAACCTGTGTGCCCTCACAGTACTGGGAACTTGCAATGAATTAGCTTGTCCTGGTGACTTGTTTTGGTCTGGCTACCTCCACACTCTCCAGTTGCTGAGCCTGCTTTCAGTATCTCCACTTGAGTTCCTACCTCCTGACCAGGGAGCTCCTGCACGAAGGAGAAAGGAGTCACAAGCTGGAACGGGATGTGGGAGAAGAATCATTATCTGGGATCCCTGGGTTTTCCTGCAGGTTCTCTGGCTGTGCTGACCTGCACAAAGCCGGGTGCTGGTGGGGAGGTAAATGTGTCTGCAGGTATAAGTGCTTATAGAGGCAGGCCAACCTGGGGAAAAGAATTCACTCTGGTAGCACTGGATATCTGTGGTCTGCTTGAGAACTTTGTTTTCCAGATACATGGAGAACATTTCCAGGTATATGGGCAGTTTTCACTATGAGACTGGGTAGGGTAAGTGGAGAAGGGCTGACTGAAGTGTTTTAATCACACTGAGTGACTCTTAGTCATGATTATGTGGCATCTTGGGCACGATTCTGTGGGGCACCAGAGCTGAGCAGTTTAGCTCACTGCAGCAGCAGATCAGCAAGACCCTGTCTCCAGGATCTCTAAGCGTTGTTCCCAATGAACAGAAAGACAGTTTGCTAGAGTAGGCATTCACCCCAGTCACGTAATGGACTCCGCTGCTGAAGTGAGCTCAGCCTTGCAGGAGCACGGGTCTGCTGCACAGAGCCCGGTCACACAATACAGGGGACAGTTTGCTGCACAGAGGCAGATGTGTCTGAAAAAAAGAGCAAAATGATTAAGGTAAGAGTGTCTCCCCAGGACCCGGATTTCTGCTGTATGCAGCAAGAAGCTGGTTACATCCTCTGTGTAGGGGAAGACATCCTGTGCAGACACAGATTTCTTCCATATAAGGTCAAAATTGGCCATAGATGGCCTAAATCTCTCTATATTAATCCAGTATATAGGAGAAAGAATTCCAGGTTATGCAGTGACTGGAATTTCATCCTATACATAGGGGCATTGCACCCCTACACAGAAGATGTTGCTCCTCTTGGGTACTTGAGGCTCATGAGGCTGGGAATGGAGGAGGAATTTCTCTGTACTGGAAGTGTGCACATTTCAGCAGAGAGGAGGGCACTGAGAGCTTGATCTCAAAGACATTCAAACCACTTGCAGCCACTGACTTCTGTGCTGGGACGCCTGTGGAATTCGCCTGTGTGGAGGAAGGTAGGATGGAGATGAGATGTTAGAGGGAGCTCTTGGTAATTGGCCTAGGCCAAGTCTCCACTCTGTATTTAGAATTGAATGTAAGCTGATATAGATATATAAATGTATAACATAGCTACTGTACAGTATATAGAAATTTAACAGTCATACAGTTTGGGGAATGGTTAGAAGCCTTTCTGTTGCTTGCTTTCAGCAGGGAGAGGAAGAGGTGCTCCTCTCCAGGAGAACACTGTTTTCATGCTAGAGCCAATATAATGCACACACAAATATTAAAAGAAAATGTATTTCCTGTTATTCTTGGCAACTCTCATGTGTTTGGATTTATTTGTCTCTAGCTGTATTTCCTCCAGATTTGTGGGCAGACTTGACGCTAACCCAAATCTGTCATTTGGAACTCTTTACTCCCTGCTAGCCCAGTCCTCCGCTGCCACCCTCCCTTCACTTGTCACAGGTCTTCCTAGGAGGTCATTATTTTTTCTAGAGATACAGAAAATTATCTTCAGCATTTTTTTTTTTTTCCATGGATAGCTGTGCTAGATTTTCCGGACAGTTGATAGCTGCTGAACACAGGGATAACGACTCCCAGCCTGAGATTTGTGCTGAGAACACATCTTTTCACTCTGTGTGCACCATGACTTGCTGGTGGAGAACTACCATCTACAAGTAAAATGGTAAGATGGCTGAAATAGAAGAAGAGCTGTGATAAATTACCTCATAAGCAAAGAAGAATTTGTTCGCTAGAGCCATTTAACTCAGTAATGGGAATAACTGAAAGACTACATTAAAAATTACACATCTAGGTCAAAAAAAATAGGAAAATTTCTCTTTCATTGAATTTCTGACTTTTGCATAGATTCGTCGGGCACTGACCGTACATCATATGTCAGTCAAAAAGATGGAGCACTCAGAGACTGGGGGACTCTGGGCAGTGTTGTCATGTGCAAGCAGTCCAAGTCTGCATTTAGATGGGATTTCTAGAACAAAAGTGTCTGTGGCCCAAATTACCCATTGAACTGCCTCTGACAGTGTCCCGTAGTTCTTCAGGACTAAGCCACGCCATGCAGGTTACTGCACAACACTCTCCACCAGAATCAATGCTCCTCCCTGGCTAACGCTGCCATGTCCCTGTCTCGGACTGTTACAGTGAAAACAGCCCCAGCCCAAGTGACCAAAGATGTTGCTCCCACCTACACAGGCCTGGCCCTGCTCCGACTCATGAGCTCTTGGCCTTTGCAGTGCCCCTCTATCGGCACGTTCCACCGGATGTGTGAGCAGAGTATGACATGCACCATCAGCTTTTTGTAATTCAGTTTATTCTCCCCTTTCCTTACAGTCCTGGAGTCCACAGACAGGCTTTCCCATCTTCATTGGCACTTGTCCCATACACAGATTTATCTGCCCTGCCATTCCAACCTGAATTGTCATAGGCTGGTCTCTGAACATTACCTTCTCTTGTAAGCTGGGGAAATAGTTTTAAACATAGGTCCAGCTAGGTCTGTTTCTCATGAAGTTGGACTAGCCACAAAGAAAGCTGCCCGAGTTCCATTTTAGAAACATGATCTAGAGTTTGTGGCTGATTTTCATAAACTGTTCTGACCTGGAGTGGGAGTTAGACGGCCTGCAGTCACTTCCCACACAATGGTTGCTCTTGCTCATCTTGCTGCCATTGCTCCTGAGTACCAGTTGGTGTTGCCAGTTTGAAGGCTGCTGTTTCAAGGCCAGTGCTCTGATGCCTGGTCTCCGGTTTGAAGTGGTATCTCACTTTGCTGGGCATTGTATTGGGTTTGTGTGGCAAGGTTTTGGTAGCGGAGGGGCTACAGGGGTGGCTTCTGCCGGGGCAAAGCCAGTCAGCGATGGTGGTAGTGCCTCTGTGACAACATATTTAAGAAGGAAAAAAAACCTGCTGTGGCTCAGTAGTCGGAGAGAGAGAGAAGTGAGGATGTGAGAGGAGCAGCCTTCCAGCAGGCACCAAGGTCAGTGCAGCAGGAAGGCAGGAGGGGCTCCAGGCGCTGGAGGCAGAGGTTCCTCTGCAGCCCCGGGTGCAGCCCATGGTGGGGCAGGCTGTGCCCCTGCAGCCCAGGGAGGACCCCACGCCAGAGCAAGTGGGTACCCAAAGGAGGCTGTGACCCCATGGGAAGCCTGGGATGGAGCAGGTTCCTGGAAGGGCCTGTGGACCCATGGGGAGAGGAGCCCAGGCTGGAGCAGGTTTGCTGGCAGGGCTGGTGACCCCGCGGGGGACCCACACTGGAGCCACCTCTGTGCCTGAGGGACTGCACCCCATGGGAAGGAGGGACCCACGCTGGAGCAGTTCATGAAGAACTGCAGCCCATGGGAAGGACTCAGGCTGGAGCAGTGCATGGAGGACTGTCTGCCGTGGGAGGGACCCCAGGCTGGAGCAGGGGCAGACTGTGAGGAGTCCTCCCCTGTGGAGGAAGGAGCAGCAGAGACAGCGTGTGATGAACTGACCCCAACCCCCACTCCCCATCCCCCTGCACTGCTGCAGCAAGGAGGTAGAGAATTTGGGAGAGAAGTGGAGCCCAGGAAGAAGGGAGGGGTGGGGGGAAGGTGTTTTAAGATTCAGGGGGTTTTATTGTCTCCTGCTCTGATTTGACTGGTAATAAATTAAACTAGTTTCACCAGGTTGAGTCTGTTTTGCCCATGACGGTAACTGGCGAATGATCTCTCCCTGTCCTTATCTTGACCCACGAGCCTTTCAATATATTTTTCTCTCCCCTGTCCTGTTGAAGAGGGGAGTGACAGAGCAGCTTTGGTGTGCAGCTAGCGTCCAGCCAGGGTCAACCCATCACAGGCATACAGAGCTGGATCTCCCCACAAGGGAAGCTGGCCACACCAAAGGTTTTCTG